GGGACGGCTGTGCTGCACCGCCGCGGCCGCCGGCAGCCCAGCGGGGACGGAGGATGAGCAGCCGCGGGACTCGTGTCACTCACCCGCAGCGTGGTGATCATGGAGGGGTCTCGGAGACGGCCGTCCTCATCTTTGAGATTATATCCCTCCGGCCGCTTGTCGCGCTCGCTGACTTTCCACAGCTTCACGGTTTTATCTGCGTGAGCCGAAGAGAGGAGACAAGGTCACGGCCGGCTGCTCCAGCGGGGACGTGAAGGCCACGCCGGCTGCTGTAAATGTTACCGTTCTGCTCTTTCCTGGTCTTTTAGCTTACTGAAAGTAACACAGACGTTACAAGGAAAAAACCCTCCTTCAGAGAACTAACCATCACCAAAATGCTTTATCCTGAGACCTTTGCTTTCTTATTTTTGCCAAAGCATTTGTTACATGTGTTAAGGTGACTGTTGAACAAAAGACCACCACTATTGGATTAATGGGCAAATGATATGAAAAATGACTTCCCGAGGCTCAGCCTCAGAGATTACGCCTCGAATGTTAGTGTTCAGTATACGGAGTGACGGGCTCGAGTCAACCCCTCCAAGAGGAGGTCGCGAGGCACCGGCTACAAAAGGACGAGGGACTTCAGGTAGCGTCGGAAAGCTGAACGGGAGATACCCCGGCAGCGGGCTGGAGCCACACGCAGCTACGCTGCTGCTGGGATGCACTCACACACCCATGCATGAACACACATGCATGCGCACACACACACACACACGTGTGCGCACACACACCCCTGCACACATCTGTGCATCTACCGGCAAAGTCACCTGGGAGAGGACCCTGACATCAGGCGTCTCCTCCTGCAGTTCCTAGCTGCTACGGCAGTTACCTAGGGGACACCGGTTACTTTTCCAGAGTAATTTCCAAATTAACTTAGCTCAAACGCCCTTCGTGCCGCGAGCAGCCGCAGTGCAGAGGCAACGCGCTCTGATCGTCCCTGCCGGCCTCCTCCGTGACGCGCCACAGTCCCTGCACTCAGCCCCGCAGCCCCCTTGCACCTCGCAAGCCGATGGAGGAGGCTGTAACTCCAGAGTTACTCCAGTTTGGGGTAATTCTGCCAGGTATTGGAACGATCCGTCACAGCAGAGCTTGCGCTGCCGCAGGGCGAGGGTTTTAGAGGACAAACACTGGCGATCTGCGCGTGAATTTAAAATTCGCTACTGACAGACCGCTTAAAAGTAAGTAATTTTGCTTACAGCCAGCTCAGGCAGGAAACACGGCAGGTAACGAACGAAACGGGGCAGCGAGTGATTTAAAGGTAGATACGAGCTAGCTGCACCAACAGAAATCTGAAGGTGGCAAATCCCTTCTGAACGGAAACTGCCAGCGGAAACTCCCAGAAAGCGGTGAAATCGTGCCCATAATTTACTCAGAAGTCACGTGTGACTTTCCCCACCTGGACGCTGAGCAGACACCGGCATTTATCACCGTCCCGAACCCCCGCGGCCAGCTGTCCCCGTCCTCGCTCCCGGCCTCCCATTCATCCTGCGCCACCACGTCTTCCGGGTGGAAGCGCCCCAGGAACGTGCGGTTTTACCCTGAATAATGGTGTTTTCTTTCCTCTCTCCTGGCTGTCACTCTATCAGTAGTTTATCATCACTCCCACTAGGTTTTATACACAACCTTATCATTCATCTTAATTTTTTCTCTTTTACACAGTAATTCCAACTGACTGCTATTAATTTTGTTTTATTAACCCATTTTACTTCGGGGGTTTCTGTATATAATGTTAGTTTAACAGCAAGAACAAAAAGAAACAACATAACATGGGAATATTTTTAAAAGAATCATTTTGATAACCTGCTAGCATATGAAACACCATCCCAAATGGAAAGATAATATCCCTGTTAATCAAAAAACTATTTAAAAACTCAATTAACAGAACATTATACTCTATAATTAATCTTCATCGCATTTCAATGATTCTCCCCCAAATGAGTTTAGTAAGTCTTTGCATTTTATTACAATGATCAATAGAGTAAATTATATAATACAAAGTAAGTTGGTTATGGAGATAATTAGACTCCTCCTTTTCCCCTGAAGTAATTAAGTCACATCCATCTTAAGGTCCCATTCATCCCAAGTAATATTCCTGGATCCTCCTGATATTTATCTGAGCACAACATGAAACCGCTCAGCTGAACGCAGCTGCACCTCAAAACAAATCTCCTGTAGCTTTTCTTAAAAAAAAAAAAGTTCCCAAGAAGTAATAATAGAAAAGTTACACAGCGGAGGGAGGAGACCTCCTCCCATACAGTGAATAAAAACTGAAAAAAAGGCAAAAGCACAGGAATTACATGCAAAACGTGCTCCGCGGGGGAGTTTAGGCTGGGCGCCGGTCCCCCTGCTCACGCCAGCGTTTTGCAGCGAGGCGAGCCCACGTCTTTAAAATACACTCCTAATACAATACTTAACACGTCTTTTCAACGGCCCGAAGCCCCGCGGCGGCGGCGCACGTACCGTTGGTGGAGAGGAGGAAGTAGGCTGCGTTCTGCTGCGGGAGCCATCGTATTTTGTTGATCTTCTCCTCTATCTCCAGGCTCTTCAGGTAATCGAACTCGGGCTCGTGGCTCTGGAAGGTGCTGTAAACATTGTACTCGCCCCGGCGGTGGGGCTGGTGCTTGCTCTGCGCGGGGGACACGGCACAGTTAGACAGGGCAGAGCGCGGGAAACCCTCCGCGGGGTCTCGGGGCTGCTGAACGGCGGCGAGCGCCGGACCGCAGCGACACGTCGCCCTGCAGACACCGACGGCGACGGGAGACCGCTCCGGCACGAGGACCCTCCAGGCACCGCGGGAAACGCAGGGCGGACGAATCCCTCCGCGTCACTTATCTCCGGGACACGTTTGAGAGGAAAAACAACGCCGAGCCAGAGCCAGCCCTCGCCGAAAGTGGAGCTGGCGGGGCCACCCGCGACCGGGAAGCAGGATTTGCCCCACAGATGCGCAAAGATAAAGCGAGACCAACACGGCCCAGGAAGGAACCCAGCCCCGCGGGAATCGGCGCGGGGCTGGCGCAGGTGAGCGGAGCGCCGCTCCGAGCTACAGCTCGGTGCCGTTCATCCTGCGAGCGTAAAGTTCAAGAAAAGCAGGAGAATCATACAACGGGAAATAAACAAGAAATAAAATACGACTGGAAAGGTTGGTGAAGCGGCTCTGTGCGTAACCTTTAACCGATGGGTCCTCGCCAGCAGGTACCGAAATGCTCTCGAAGCCGCAGCTCTGAGAAATATTTAAAAACATCAGTGGCCTACACGGGTTTTCATGGCCGGGCCTCACCCATCCCTTTCCACCTTAAGAAACACGTCCACGAGGGGAGATCTGCTCGCGTCCCGGCCAGACTGTGCAATAGCACACAAGACGTGCCAGACCGATTAAAACGAGACGGCTCTGGAAACGGAGGGGAAACACACGCCAGGTTGTTAGGGCCTGTGACAGCTTTCCGTTGCCAGTCGCGTTGCGCGCGCGTTCGGAGCAGCAGCCTTTAAAGGTCGTGCTGAACGCCGAGCGCAAACGCGGCTCCCGCGGGAGCCCGGACGGACGGCGACCTGGCGGGACACGCCACCCCTTGGGGCCATCCGCGCTTTGCTGACCTTTTGTGAGAGCAAAGTTGCTTTTTGCATCTTTGCTCCAAGACTGAAAGCGGCTGCAGGAGCTCGCTCTGATGAACGGGACGCTCACGGCGGCTGGACACCGAGATGCCCCAGCCTGGTCCGACTGAGGCCAGGCTCCAGTGAGCTGCACGGAAAGCTACGGCGGGGGGAAACGCAGTGTGTTTCTTGAGGTGTTGTATGAGATGGAACCGGCCCCGCGTGTGGTAACAGTCGCTTCTCAGGGTGGAGTTTGCCGGGAGGGAACTGGGTTTAAGAGTGACACAGAAGGATTAGGGAGCAGCGGGAAGCTTCTTTTAAAAGGATAAAATGGGCATTTTGCATTCACCAGCACTTACCTCCTGCTCACGTTGGAATATTACAACCCGACCCCCCTTGTCCCCTGTTGCTAGTAATTCTCCCGTGTGGTTGAATTCTACCGTAGAGATAATGTCAGCTGAAAAGAAGAAGACAAAGACAATTTAAGTGACTGCACACTGGCTTCTCCCGGGCGTCCAGCAGGCCCCGTTCCCCACGCGGTTAAGGCAGTCGGCATGAGCACCGTTTTGTGCCCCCCGAGAAACTTCCAGAAACGCTACTTTTTCCATCGCACGTAACAGCCGTCACGGGATCTGGGGGCTTTGTGGTCCGCGGGGG